GGCCGGCAGGTAGGGAGCAGCGTACACACGTGATACAAGGGTCCAGGCACAGCTGTGACAAATCTCGCTGTCAGTGCCACTCCCGTGCGGGCCCGTGTCCCCGTGTCCCACTACCTGGTGCTTAATGACAGCACCGTCAGCGGAGGCGCGTGGCACGGCGGCCTGTCAGAGCCCTATTAGAGGGGAGATTGAGACCCTCCTCACAGCAGATGCGCTCGAGCGGCACGCAGCGAGGCCCTGTAATTACTGCGCACCAGCCATCGATCCGCGCTGACACAGCCCTGCTCTCTGACAGCTGCTTAGGGGGCGTGAGGCGGGCCTTCCCCACCCAGTTAAGCCGCCCTGCGCGCCACTGGGCTCCTGAGGGCAGCCCCGCAGGGTCCTCCCAGCAGAAGGCAAGCTCGGCCCCCAGTCCCAGCAGCCGCGGCCTCAGAGATGAGGTCGTCAAGCCAGAGCAGGGTGCTGGCCCTGGGGCTGAACCCCGGCCCCCACCCCGCCCCCACCTCACCCCCACACAAGCTGGCGCTGACATCAGGACTTCTAGTTCAGGAGGCAGGATGTCCCCTGACTGGGGAGTGGGGGGAGGCGGATTAACTCCCAAGGCTGCAACAAGGCCCAGTTTCTGCCGGGGACCCCACAGACTCCCCCTCTTTCCTCTAGCCCCTAACTTCTCCATCAGCACCCAAGCACTGAACTCGGCAAACACCTGTGCACGGGCCGCTGCGGCTGGCTCAGACGGCACGAAGGTGAGCGGAGAGAGAGCTTGGACAGCCTCTGCACCTGGCCCGAGGAGCCACACGGGGACGGACAGCGGACAGCACCATCCTACAGTGGCGCCCACACCCACAAAGGACTCCAGGCACCGGATGTAGCGGGGCCCTGGGCTCAGGATCCTCCTCATGGGTGGGGCTTCAGCTGAGAAGAGCAGTATCCCCTGACACACACACACACACAGTGGCTTACAGCCCCAGGTGTCTAGTGGCCTGTGGACCACCATCTAGTGGCCCTGCCTTGGCAGCACCTCAGGGAAACCCCTCACACCCCACCTCCCCATCCCACTGTAACCCAAACTGCAGGCCAACTGCCCACCTCCACCCCATCCCCTGGGGCCCACAGTCCTGTGTCATGTTGATGTTTGGCTTCAGATGACACCCCATGTCTCTATGCCATAGTCCTACCGAATCTCAGGC